CGAGGATTGTGATTGTCTTAGTCGCGAGTGCAAAAATAATACCTGTGCTCGTAAGTATCGAACTTTTACTTTTACGTTATATGTGGACAGTGAAGAGAAGAGTAACGAATACATTGTTGATAAAGCAAGTCTATGGTTAACTGTGACAAAGATTTGTAACGATTGATCGCAATGTAGTATATTAGGAAAAATGCTAGAGAAAAAATTTGTAATACTAACATCTCGTATTTTGAAAGAGAATAGTTGCAATTTTATTTGTTTTCAGTTTTTAACTAAGATGATGGAGAGGTTGCAATCAACTATTAAGTGTAGTCGTCATTAAACTGTTGGAACACTTTAGATTGTAATTAGTATAAAGAGTACTGGTATAAGTATGGTTAGTGCTTCAAGAGAACTGGAATGCGTAGAGTTGGAACTGAATTGAATACTTTTGTCACAGTTGAAACTAATGCTGCTTTTATCTTTCCACTTATCACAGGTTTACCATTAGCAGACTCAACTGCAATCTCAATAACCTCGAATACTGTCTCTTCAATCTTGAATACAATCTCGATAACCTCAAATATGACCTCATCAATATCTAATGTCACATTACCGATCTCGAATATGATCTCGTCAACCTTCATTCCCACTTCTTCAACCTCGAATATGGAGAGACTGCCAGGATTTATGTTTCTGGGAGTTACTGGAGTTTTTCGAAGTACTGGATTTTTTTCCATGCTATACATATCATGACAAGCTCATATTTTTTATTGAATTAAATGAAATTTATCTTAGTATAGCTTTTTTTATCAGATGATTGATTTTTTTTCCTTACTGGAACCATTCTATGAATATAATTACAACGTAAAGCTTATTTCAGTTAACTTTTTTTCATCGCCTAATTCCGTCACACACCAATTTTTTTTCTTAACACATTCGAGGCGATTCACTTTTGTACAGAAATTGATCGAGATATTCGTTTCTACGGAGAATAAATTCCTAATGAATGCACTGACTGACCTTTCCTTTCTGTTGTATCGCTTTTTTTACTATCCTTCTTTTTGTACAATTAAATAGTGAATCGAATCTCGTCTCGAGCTGTTTAATGACTCAAGTTACCTTTTCGTTCTGTAATATGTATTATACTTTACGTGTGAGATAAGGATAGAAAGTGTCTAGATTTTTCTGTTGCATTCGTGTCTATTCTGCGCATTGCTACCCATCAGTATAAAAGCGATCAAAATTGTCAGTATTCTTGAACATTTTACATGTCGTCAGAAGAAGCCAGTACGGAAGATAGCCTTGACTCACTCAGTGAAGTGAGTTCTCTGGATGATGATTTTGCTAGAATGCACTTCGAATCTGCAAGTTCCGATGAAGAAGTCACTGATGATGAGGTCAATTCAAACGTCTGGAGTGAATTTCTTGAAGATTATGGACTTATTGAACAAGTAACACCAACTTCAGAAGATGGTACAGTCAATCCTATCGATTGCTATCGACATTTCATGACTGACGACATCATAAGCCTTATGGTTCTTGAAACGAATAGATATGCAGAACAATACTTACTAACACATAAACTTAGCAAACGATCGAAAAATCTTCAATGGGAACCAACCACTAACGAAGAAATGCTGACGTTCTTGGGGATAGTCATCGAGATGGGCTTAGTGCAAATGCCAAAAGTCAATTATATGGATCAGAAATTATTCAAAATACAATGTCGAGAGACAAGTTCGAATTACTTCTCAAGTTTTTGCATTTTTCGAACACTGAGGACCAGGATGCGAGCCAAGACAAACTGGCTAAGTTGAATCCACTTTTGATCCTATTGAAAGCTAGAGTTAAGTCGATTTATACGCCCGGTTCTGTCACCACCGTCGACTCTCCTTTAGACAATACGTTCCAGGCAAAGCCCACAAATACGGGGTTAAAATGTATAAAGTAGCAGACATAAATGGATATACTTGGAATTTTATAATTTATACAGGAAAACAGAATCCAACGACTGGTGTTATTCATACTAAAACAGTCATCATGCAATTATTAGAAGATCTTTTCGGATGCTATCGAACTGTGGTAGCAGACAATTTTTTACGAGTATCGATCTTGCGAAACGATTGTTAGGAAATGATACTTACCTCATTAGAACAATGAGAAGTAACCGTGTTGGATCTGGAAAAGCAATTCTTCAGAAAAAACTCAAGAAGGGTGAGATTTATGGACTTCAGAATGGCGATGGTGTCAAGCTGATCAAGTGGACAGATAAAAGAGACATTCTAATGATATCTACCAAGCCATCCCATACAACTGCTCTTGTGGACTTCAGAAAAACTAATCCATCTGGCGAGCGCATCATAAACCCACAAGTGGTGCTCGATTATAATAAAGGAAGACAAGGTACGGATTTGTCGGATCAGCTATCTGCATACTACACATGCCTAAGACGATCTATAAAATGGTATCAAAAGGTGGCGTTTGAATTGATATTCGGAACAGCAGTAGTGAATAGTTATTTGATATACAAAGAGAACTACACAACAAACAACATAACCATTCTGCAGTTTCGTGAGAGTCTCGTGCGATCTTTACTCCTTGGTATGCCTTTCGAAAATCTGAAACCTGGTCCGAGACAGCAATCGACGAGTCATTTGAATTTTTGTCTTGATTGTTTTAATGAGAAGCATTATGCTATGTAATAAATTATTTTGAAAATAGCCAAGGTACAAATCAGATCATACACTACATGCAACTTTCCGCCTAAGAATGAAAGAGAAAGAACTGTTCTTCTACTCAGTTTCTTGCTAAAATATAGAGGGGTCCACTGGTGGACCCCATCGCCTCGAATGTGTTAACTTTATTCTTATTGGTAGTCTTAAACTATTATATGAATTTAAGTTTATTGGTTTTATACTGATCTATGTAGTTATAGATTCAAAGCATACCTGATGAAGACAGTCTAAGCAACTGTCGAAACGCGTCGTATGATGCTTTGAATCTTATCATCATTTATATTAACACACACACCCACACCCACACCCTCACACACACACTTTGAAAGCAAAGTTAAAATATCATCATTGAAAGAGTTATTTGGAAAGAAAACTATCAGTTGTACGGTTTTGTAAAGATTTACACGGCGTATCTGTTAAAAATAATTTAGCTCGATAGGATAGGAGGAAAAATGAAAAAAGATATAGTCAAAATACTGATGGTGCCATACAATCCACCGAATCGCTTATTAGTCCTTCAAACTATCTACACATTCTCAAAACTTCATATACTTCGCTGATCAGATTTATCATTTCATTTTGTTCTTTCAAGCTTTGCTCAACATAATACTCAGTATAGATGTGACGACAATCACTATACACCATCAATATAATTACATTTTACTGTTTTCAGAAGGCCTGACAACGATAACATATTCACATAAAACTTATTATCTTACGGAAGGTAATATACTTCACAGAAATATTAAATTTCCGCAAGAAAATGACGAGATTTTTGTTGTTGATATCGTATATCATGAACACTTCAGCCAAGTATTATGTTTATCAGTAAAACAGGAAGATAATTTCCTTTGAATATTTTCACTATAATAAATATAAACTTGAAAAATAACTGAGAAAATTTGATTTGATCATGATATTCATGAAGAGAAGAGAAGTAAATACATTAATTTGACCAATAAAGTTTTTTTTGGTTATAATATTTTCTTTGTTCACAATTTTCATATTGTTGTTTTTTCGTATATAACAGTTCACGGAAACAATATCCTGAGAAAGAAGATCAGAATATATTAAAGTTTGTTTAACAAGTAGTAATAGAAGACATATTCAGAGCCAGGTTTTTATCGGTACTGTTATTGGTTAGAATAACAAGCAGTGTCATAGATGGCATGTGATAGAACGAAAGGAAAGGATGCTCTTCAAGAGACTCAAATCACATGTCTTTCTGCTATCCGGACAAATATCTTAGCTAATTGAACTAGAAGAGATGTCTTAATCTTTCGTTTACCATCAGTATGTACGATCACTGATGTTAACAACATTTGTTAGATGTGTAGGAGTAACTGAGAAAAAGAAAATAAAACTAAGAGAAAATTTTCAACACACAGCTAGTTTTTTTCTTGTCTCTCTCTCTGCAGAGCGAACAATTTTCATCTTTCTTTTTCTCTTTCTCATCTGTAAAAGAAAAGTCATTTGTTTGACTCTGAACATTTATTAAACATGAAACACACAATTATATCGCTTCTACATATAACAATAGTCAGCATCATCTTCGTCATACCAATAGATTCACAAAATATCAAGACATTATTATTAACCGAAAGAAATGATATCCGATATGAGTGCACCAATTCAAGTTGTTCAACTCCGACGATTATCTTGGGAACAAATTTAAGAGACTGTCAATTGGCTTGTTTAACAGATAATAATTGCCGTACAATAACATTTGATCCATCTATCAATCAATGTGAATTATTTACTGATAGTCCAAGTCAATATGGTAGTTTGATACCGCAGATAGGTGTTGTGACTTTCACTGCTGATGATCGACAGCCGCCAACTCGTAAGTAAAGATTTGCTACATATTGAGTGATGTCACATATCTCACAGATCGGAGATGCATCCTCGTCTCTTTCAGAGGACGAGTTGTTTCCAGCGAGATATGCAGTTATCTACCTCAGGATGCGCATCCACACTCTACCACATGCGTATAGGCCCACACTTTATACCAGGTCTCGTGTTGGAAACTAGTGTACATTTCTACAAATCCGGTATACATGACATTGCTGTCCGTTAGACCGGTACTGGGTGCACATCTGGGAGTACATAACAAACCCATGTTTTGCGATTAAGTGGAAGTGATCCCAATTTCGCACAGTCATGTTTCAAGATTGTTTTTGTCGTTATTACACTGACAGTCAGTGGTTAAACCGCCAAAATTAGTCGCAACTACGTTGCCTACCATCCCATTTGTAAGATATGTATAAACAGACAACGAACTGTAGAAAAAAACCAGCATTAACAAATAGCATAGTGCACAAGATATGCATGAGTGTTAATGAGGATGTAGTTTAAACGATTAGCACCGATTCCTTTCTCCGCCGGTCGCCGACACCTACTTGCCAATTACTCAATCCAAATAACCACTCAGCACTCATTCCTTGACTAAAAAGAAAGTATCTCGAACATCAGTAACTGGAGAAAGTAGCATGTTAGACCTGATTGATCCACATCAAGACTACAGATGTAGCAGCGGCTTATACATAGATTAAGAATCATTTACCTTTAGAAATTGATTGTTAAAATATTAAGTGATCCCGTAATTAAGAATTGAAAAAATGAGCTCAAATATCTATATTAGATCTCCTTTCATACATCATTAAGGACAATAACTATTATTACTCAAAAACATCCAATAGATAAGTCAGGAAAGTGTGGTGATTCCGAGACAGTTGTTGAAGAAGAGGTCTTTATCTCTGAAAAAGAAGCTTTATTTTCTTATCAGATGATTTAATGTGAAGCACTACATGAGAAAAGTTATATATAATGAAAAGCCAACAATGAGCGAGAGATGTGTCTAATGCACCACCATCTTTCCAATGACAAACGCTGATATAGTTATCTCACTCTATTTTGCAAAGATGTAGATTATGTAATCTTGTGTACTGGCAGTGGAAAGCAGCTATAATGTTCGTCTAAATCAAAAGAGAGAATATGGTTATCTATATTGAGAAGAATGAATTTTTGTTCTCTGTTGACTGTGCATTTTCTCTAAGTCTTTTTGCAAAGTGGATGATTATGGTGATTATAGAGGTTATAGATACCCATTTATTCACGATCGAAAAAAAGTACAGATATTAGCACTCAGACAAGTCGCTCTTTCTGACAAAAAAGGCTAATACATTAAAAGTTCTGCACTTGTTTCCAATCAACTAACAAGAAAATGTCTTTAAAACGTAGTATCTGTTTCTTTTTCTGAAATTCCGTTTTTCGGTATTTAGAATGGACACTTATTGCAAGTATGAGTGTCGCACGATCTAGCCATACAGCATCCATCTTATCAAGCGGAAATG